GACATCAGTTTATATTGATATACACACTTAAAAAATACGTTGTTGATGGAAATATATGGCTTTTGATTTCCACTTGAACACCTTCAAGTATTGATGCTTTGCAATAGATTAGAGAAGAAATATTTACAATTCTTCATTTCATCATTTTATATATCTATATTAGTTTATTCATATTTCATATAATTTCCTACGAAAAGGTAGTATGAGCAATTTCGAAGGCTGCCCAAGTGAACAGCACTATATAAAGATAAACGCGAGATTTCGTTGAATCAACCCCCTTGCTAAACCTGAGACTTGACTACCGACAAAGTGTACAAATCCGTACCGGAAGGCAAAACATTTAGCTGATCGTATCGCGAGGTTGCACCGGCCCCGGATAAACCGATCAGTCTGCATAATGTGATTTAAACGTCACCCTAACGAGAATCGCCCCAAGTGTAGCAAAGTCGGAGGGGGTGCAGAACGATTAATCCGTGACTTCTAGTTCGAAGAGGGATCGGAATCGTGGCGTGATATCCTTGGTCATAGGAAAACCGGGAGAGGAGGGAGCCAGCTGTCGACGGGGTAGCGGCTGCACGTACAATATCGGCGTGGCTTTTGGGGGATCCAAGATGACGGTCCTCTCTTCCGTTCCGTCCACGTCGTGCCGTGTTACGATTTTAGGGGCGCGCACCGTCTCTCGGTGCGGCGTCAGCTTGCGAGGGAAGAGACGAACCTGCTGACCCTGTCGACCAGAAAAAAAAAGACTGTCCCTTTGGAAGATTATTGATGTATCAGCGATTCCTCGCTGAAACGAACTTTAGAGACTGCGTTGGCAAAACGAAATAACTGACTCCTTGATTCGAAGAAACGTACAGCTACTAGATTATTCTTAACTTTGATATCTGAAGAACTGAATGATGAATATGCATAAAATATAAATAATATGCATGTCACAATGTCTGAGCTTTCGATTTAAATCACGTTTTTTAAATTGATACTATAAATTTTTTATTATGCATGAAAATCCGCAGTCTCTAGTCGAAAGTTTAAAATGTTCTAGCAGAAGACAAGATCTTGGATCAAAATCTTTTATTTTAACTTACGAACTTACGTTACTAGATTTTACATAAAATATACTTGATCGTTACAACTGCACATAATATACTCGTGATGCCGAGAAAAATATATTGCACGTAGGTACATGTGCTACGCATCTTCTGACCTCTCTTATACTTTACACTGCAGTGTGCGAGACATCCTTGTGTGATTAAACAACACTGTAAAATACTCCCGGGCGGAGAAAACAGTGACGTATTCCCCTCCTAAGTCAACCCGTTTTCGTTCCAACACTTTAGTGACCAAGCACCTTCATTGTAATAATTCATTGCAAAATATACGAAAGATCAACATTTAAAATTGTCGTGATCATTCTCAAAAGTGATTTCCATGTATTCAATATACAATATACAAATTGCAATGGATACTGTAATAATCATTATCAACATGTTTTAGTTTGGTCGTTAAAGTATTGGAAGATAGATGCCCAAAAAAGGTCTTCCAGAATTATTTCTCTGCCTTTAGCTGTATTCCTCGATAAAAACAGACGCATCTCATCTAGAGCGTATACTACTGGAGGCAACTTCCATATGTAAAAGTGTAGACAAACCCAAAATAAGAGAGATAGAGATACAGTTTATCTACGTGCTTTATTTCAAAGTACGAGATTGGGCCATAGACATATGAGAACAGACCGGACCCTTCGTATCAAGCCGGACCCAAATGGGAGACTTGAGACCTGTCGATTGAGAAAACGCATGTATATATTCTATTTTTTCTATCGACACATGAGAGATAGAAAGACAGAAACTCGTCCAAAGCATTTACGGGATCAATAAAAATGCATTCAGGAGCTCGGTCTATTCTTTGATGTCTATGGGCTGGCCACAACATTTCTCCTTCAAATTCGTTTACTGACAAGTAAAGATTGTAACCAATGCTGCGAGAGAGAGGTAGTATGTAGCTAACGATTTCTATCCCGTTTACTACATCTTTAACGCTGAAGAAGCTGTCTCCAGTAGCATGCGCTCTAAGCAAAACGTCCCACCAACAAACATTTTTCACATGTGAAATGGAAACACGTATTTCCATGTACGAGAATTAAATACAAAGTCGACATATACCAGACACAGAGCCACGCGCACACTTTCTTTTTTATTAATCGCGTTTTACGCACAACGAAACGAAGTTACGTACAAATGTACATTCTATACATATACATTGTCTTTATAAGAAAACTTTGCAAATCACTGCAAAATTATCCTCAGCAAATGTTTGAAGGTAAAAGAGAATTGTTTTCATCTTTTACCGTAGAAAATTATACTCTGTCTCGTCT